ATGGGATCGTTTTGTTGTCTGCACATAAGTTATTAAATTGCATAAAAGTGTCAGATAATACTGTACGTAGTTAATATGAATTTGTCTGTTTTTAGTTAATTTCAATATAACCAATTCTTTCGTTTGTAGTTTGCTCTACTTTGGGTTCTTGAATTTTTATTTTCACGTAGTATGCATACTTATGTGTCTTTGCTATTCTTAATATTTTACCAGAATACGTAGTGGAATTTATGATAAAAATCATGATAATTTCAATTAAAAATTAACTCGACCTTGAATAAAGAATTCTTTAATGAATCGACGTATAGATAATTATATTATTACTGTATTAAATATTAGACAAATTTCGAGACCATGTGTAACATGAATTGCTATCAAAATCAGTACACAAATAATTTTTTTTTGCATGGTATTTTTGTGTACGTCGTACGTAAAAATTTTTTTTATTAAATTGGCTAAGCCACATTGACGATCACCCAAATTTAGGGTTGTCCACTATCAGCATCTGCAATTGCTAGACGTGTATTCAATTTTGGCCAATCAGAGTTTTCGTTAATTAGCCAATCAACCAAATTTCCATTAAATAATCCCGATCGTGGATTCAAGCTTGCAGTCGCACAAGTGCAGAATATGCAGATATCTTCCCAACCAAGTCTTTAGAACTTATTGATATAAACTTACTCATTGTCTTGACTCATCTCTAGATTCTTTTTTTAAAGATTATAATTTGCCAAAGATTGCTCTCTGGAACACTAAAATTGCAACGCTGGCTTCGGCAATCAAGCCACTTCTCCCTTCTCTCTGTCTTTATCAACTGGTCATCGGACAACGGATTAAACCCATAACCGATTTTATTCCACAATGTCTGCTTCAGAACATCCCGCCATTATCAGCCTTCCGGAAGAAGCCCTAGGTTTGCCTCCTGCGCTTCCACCTTCTGTATTGCTTCAAGAGCAACACGCTCAAAATGAGAATAGTCCAGCGGTTGAATATTCTATCCCTACTGAAGGTCTTACTTCTGTTTCTTATGATACGGACTTTCCTTCACTCTCCGCTGCAGCTGCTCCGATAGCAAAATCTCCTGTGTGGGGAAATCGTTCTGGTGCTGATCTAATGCGTCAGCAAGCTCCAATCAAAAAGTCGGGTATCATAACTGAAATACTCGAATTGTCTGCTTGCCAACAATTGCAAAAGAAAGAGTTTGGTAATAAAACAACAATTACTGATACAGTCAAACGTATCACAAATAAGACAAACACACAGATCGATATGTCTACCGCAAAAATAAGTGGCACTACTACTTTTTTGATTAAAGGTAATATTGAAGATGTGATGAGAGCAAAGCGAGAATTACTGGATATGTTGGCTGTTAAAGTAGGATTAATTTTGGCTTATTATGTCAGACAATAATACGGTCTTTAGTTATTTTTTGCTAATCAGCATTCGTCTTAGAGCGAAGAAACTATCCAAATCCCAGTTTCTGCTCGTCGTTATATTTTAGGAACCCGTGGTCAAACTTTGCAAGCAATCACTTCTAGAACTGGAACACGTATTCAACTTCCACCGCGTCAAGAAAACAATATCGAAGAAAATGAATTCGACTATGACGAGGATGAAGAAATGATGAGTGTCAAAATTGAGGGAGATACGAAAGGGATTAATTTGGCCAAGGAAGAAATTACTGCCATTGTTAACGAAAAAGTAAGAATTCACTTTATATATAGAAAGGAGGGTCTGAATATGTAGTATTATCTGACACTTTTATGCAATTTAATAACTTATGTGCAGACAACAAAACGATCCCATCGTATTACGCATATAGAACATCATTTCTACCCATTGATTTTTGGCGCACACAACCAACGTATTCACCAAATTAGCGTCGATACTGGAACGAAAATTCACGTCCCCCTTTATATTGCTCCTGCAGAAGTTGGTGATAATCAAGACCATTCTAAAGATTATATTATTATTTCTGGCGAACGAGATGCGATTAAAAAGGCCATCGATGCCATTGAAGAAATTTATACCACATTGGTAAATAGCAAGGTTTTAAAATGGACCTACTATTGTCAATATCTAAATTTAAATTAAATTTATCTAATTATATAGAAAAGTACCACACGAATTCTTAATGTTGATATTCCGAAGCGCCAACATAAGTTTCTTATTGGACAAAAAGGAGCGAATCTTCAAGAAATTTTAGAAACTACTGGTTGCTCTTTAGAACTTCCTGCTTTATCTGACCCATCTGAAAAAGTTGTCATTCGCGGTCCACAAAGCAAACTTGCGTCTGCTTTGCAAATTGTGTTAGATAAGGCTAATTCTATTCATATAGAAATATTAGACATTGCGCTTTCTCACAAAACCGACCAACCCTTGGAACATGCCAAAAATATTTTAAAATATCTATGTAACAGGAGTAAAAAAAAGATTGAATCAGACAATAATGTGCAAATAATAGTTCCTAAAGGATTAGCATTGGAAAAAAGTGTAATATTGGAATTTGTTGGTAAGGATCCTGGAAATGTAGAGAATGCAAGAAAAGAAGTAAATGAGATTGTTAAGAATCTTGTATGTATTTAACAAAGACAGGATGAAATATCTGTTTATTTTAAAATATCAAATTTTGACTCTACTTTATTATTATTATAGCCACCAAGTCATTTCGCTATTGCAACCATTGAGCCTCATCTTCATCGTCATATCATTGGTCGTAAGGGCCAAAACCTTCAGCGTGTAAAAGAAACTTACGGCGTTGAGATAATTGTCCCTGATGAGAAGGATGAAAGTCCTGACATTTTAATCGTTTTTGAGAATAGAGACAGTGAAGAAGTTCCCACTGACAAGAAAAAAAGGGAATCATATGTCAAAGATATTTTAGAAAAAGCCAAATTAGAGTTGATCAAAGCTGGTCAAGATGCTGTAAGTGTATATAGTAGCAAATATTTTTGATTAGATTTTAAAAATAATTAAATTCCTATTTGCTTACATAATTACAGTCTGATTTTGCTACGCAAACTCTCACGATTCCAGTAAAATTTCATCGTCATATAATTGGGCCAAAAGGCGCCACACTTAACGGCATCACTGGTGGTAGTGAAGCACCTGTTTCTGTTAAGTTTGGTTCCTCTCGAACGGGTGCTGCAGAACGATCCGCAAATGCTGAAGGCAAAAAGCTTGCCCAAACACCAATGTCCAATGACATCGTTGTAATTAAAGGTCCAACTGAAGAAGTTGAGAGAGTAGTTAAAGAGATTAACAAGGTTGTCGAAGATGCCAAACATACTGAGGTTTGTCCACATAATAATCTAATAATCTTTAGAACAAATGAAGGTTTATATTTACTGAATTCACAATTTCAATGTAGTTTATGAATTCTTACACCGATGAGTTTACCTTCCCTGCACAATACTCCGCTCATGTAATTGGTAAAGGTGGTGCACACGTGACACGCTTAAAGGATAAATGGAATGTAAAAATTGATATCGAAGGAGGTGCTAAAGGTGAAGAAAAAAAAACCGCACCCGGAGAAAATGTTAAAGTTACCATTGTGGGTATGAAGGAAAATGTCGAAGAGGCGAAAGCCAAAATATTAGATCTTGTAGACAAATTACAAGATTCCACTACAGTCCGTCTAAAGATTCCTTCTGAATATCACAAATCATTGATTGGTGCGAAAGGTCGTTATGTAAAACGTCTTGAAGATAAGTATGGAGTTCATATACGATTCCCTAAGACCAAAGATCCTAATGAAGAAGGTGAGGATGATTCGGCTGATGCACAAAAACCGGATGAAGTAATTGTCAAAGGTGGAAAGAAGGGCGTTAATGATGCTCAGACAGAATTGATGGAACTGCTAGATTATGAAAGAGATCATGATAATTCGGAAAGTTTCAAGATTCCTGCTCAATTTCTTCCTCATATTGTTGGTAAAAATGGAGTTAAGATTACTGAAATTAAAGATGAGACACTTACTCGTATCGACCTTGGACAAGCCGAACCTTCAGAAGATGATCCAAATCAACAAGTTGTAAATGTCGTAATTTATGGAACTAAATCCGACATTAAAAAGGCAAAAGAACTTATTCTTTGCATTGTAAAAGAATTCGAAAGTCAGACAACTATTACAATTAGTATTGATCCCCAATACCATAAATACTTGATTGGCCCTGGTGGTAGCCGAATTCGAGAAATTGTCGCTAAGGCGGGCGGACCTGATGAAAAAAGTGGTCAGACGGGTATTGTAAAGTTTCCTCGCCCAGGTGCAAATAGTGACGAGGTCACCCTTAAAGGTGATAAGGAACTCGTTGAAAAAATAAAGATTGAGCTGGAAAGATTGGCTGAAGAACAGGTATTTTACATTTATCTTATACTTGTCTATTAAATTCCGGATTTGTAACGAAACGAATTATGTTTAGAGCAACCTTACGGTTGATATTGTTCAAGTCCCACGCACTCAGCATCCTATCATTATTGGGCGTAATGGAATGCAGCTTCGTGAAATTCAGAGTCGCTATAATGTGACGATTCAATTTCCCGGCTCTCGATCATATAATGATATCCCTATTGTGAGTCATGCGAATGGTAAAATAGAAAATAGTGAAGAGGCTGTTAAGATTATAGGAAGGGCGGAAAATATTGAGGCTGCAAAGGCTGATATTCTGGTATGATCGTATTTCTTTCGTATATTTACATAACATTGATAATTCTAACTTCAATTATTGTTATACAGTCCAGGGTTCGATATACTCAAATTAATGTTCCACGTAAATTCCATAATTCTTTGATCGCTAACGGTGTCGCTCGTAAACTTCGAAGTGATTTCCACGTTACTTTAGATTATGATGATGGTGGTGCACAGCCTGAAATAAATCCCCCTAAAAAAAGTAATATAAACGGGATTGCTACTAAACGAATTGATGATGATGAAGAAAATTCTGAAAATAAAGTCGAACTTGGATGGGAAGTAGTTGAAAATGGGCAAAATGCGGTTGGCGATATTGTTTGGAATTTGAAAGGTGAAAAAGTACAGGTAGAACGTGCGGAGGAATATATTACTGATTTGCTAAAAGAAGCGGTAACTCACTTTTTTTAAAAAAAAATTTTTGTTTACGTCTTTTGGATATATATATTCATTATTTTTTTCAAAAAAAAAAAAATTAGGTTCGATTTACTCACACAGGTTATATGACTATTCCTCAACAATATCATCGTCATGTTATTGGTCGTGATGGTCGTACAATTTCGCGTATTCGAAATGAAAGTGGGTGCAAAATTGAAGTTCCGAAGGGTAAAGGTGATGATGTTATAATTGTAACTGGATCTCAAGGTGGCGTAGAAAAAGCTCGGAGTTTAATGGAAGAAATTATTAATCGAGCTGAAAGATAATTATGTATACTTTCTCTGAACGGTCTAATAATTTATAGTTATATTTCAGAGGTTTTAAATGTTATTGTTTGCTGAAACAAGCCTGTCTCATTTATTTAAAAGTAAGGTATATTGTGCAATTTGAGCCATGACGTGATACTTTTAGTACTTTTTATGTTGGAAAATATTTATTTATATTTGTTAAGTAGGTAATATTGTGCTTGTTTTTTTTTTTTTTTAATATTAATAAAATTTAATTGATTTAGAATAACTATTGAAAAACTTTTTAATTTTATATACTGTATATATATTTTATAGAATTATTTTGCTATTATATAGTAGTATATTTAATTACAACTTTTAGCTATATTAAAATTATTAACAAATATATATATATATTTGTATTTTATATTAGAGAATTTCTATTTGTACACGTAGTGTATATACACGGGTATAAAAAAACCAAGTAATATTTCAAAATTATGATTAGGAAACCACCTTTTGGCTTCTAACAAAAAAATTCTCTTGCGAGATTTTGGTATAAACTACTCTCACCCCAATCCCAAACTAACCCTTACTCTAACTATAAACAAGAGTTTAATTTTCTTTCGCAAAAATTGGTTTGATTGGCATGTTACACAAGTTTGTAAATAAATAAATTAGTATCTGTTGTTACCCTTGCTGATCTAATCCCCGACTAAATTGTTAAGTCACGAGAATGTTAGTCACGGGTTTGCTGCGCTGAATGTACCGAATGTGCCGAATGTGCCCATTGTGCCGTATGTACCCGATATGGCTCAAGGGAATTAAATAGATCAAGGGAGATAGGAGGTATTAATGGTATTAGGGATATTAAGGACATTTATAACGGTTGGGATGTTTATAACTCAAAGGCCATATGTAGTTATTTTTTATATAAATGAGCGAGTTTTGCTCCACTTTGTAGGCATGCTTGTCAAGGCATTTGATAATAAACTATATTTTAATAAAGGACACTCTTTATTTGATTCTAAAATTACATACACGTACTCTTTCGAATTGCTAAATCACACTACATAATAAAACCCTCTTGCTTAAATATATACTTACAACTTTAATATACCACAGTATGGTTCTTGTGTCTCCGTACTCATGTGACTCCCTGTTATTAGTTGAACCGTTAACCCTATTTCCGAGAGGTATACGCAGGTTAACACTGTGTATAAACACTATGTGTAAATTAATAAATTTTCTTTATATTATATATACAGTTATTATAAAATGTTAATTAAAATTTATATATAATAAAATATACTGTATAATAAAGTAGATAAATATATTTTGTGTGATTCTCAAGCCATGGTGAAAAAAATTAGTCATTGTGAGATTTTACTCAAACCATTATATATTGATTGAATAAAATTAACAATTCTTAATAACAATTTTTTTTCAAATTTAGATTCTTTTGGATATTAAGCAGTATTAATTGCACTTTTAATAGTATAGATTTACTAATTAAATGATGTTAGATGTTTTTGTTATATGAAATTCAATAATTGTAGTATAATATAAAGATTAGTTACTTATACTATATATACAAATTTGTAAAAATTTTTAGTATATAATAATAAATTTTATAAGTATTAACAATTTAATATTCAAATATATTTATATATATTTTTGGATAGTTATATTACATGGTAAAGAATTGGCCTTACCAGATTTGGAACACCTCTGGCACATACGGAACTCACCGGCCAATAAGAAGTTGAAGC